AACCTCTTTGATTCATAGGCCTCGTTCATCTTGGCAGGATCCAAGACTCTGGTAAAAACTATTATCCAGCCTGATACCTATTGCCCTTACCTCCCACCCTCCTCAAGAGCAAAACCTCTTACCCATGCCTATTTTCCCTTAACACTAGTCCAGCTCCTTCCCTCTCCCCCGTCTCCAAACCTCAGACCACAGGGCTTTAATAGGAGGGTTAAGAGGTAATTCCTATCACACTGCCATCATTTAATATCTAACCGAGGCTGACAGAGAGGAAGGTTACGAACCCAAACCAGAAAGCCACCAGCAAACCTCCCCGTCTCTCCGTTCTTAGTCTCCTGCTGTTGTTCTCTCTTACAGTATCCCTCCCTTTAACTTACCTCCATTTCTTTATCTCCATTTCTTCCTCTTCTGTCTGTCTCTCTTATGCACTGTCTCATCTACATACCTTGCTATTTGCATTACTGCCACTTCCTTAATCCGCAAAAAACAGCTTGGAAGGGATAAAAAGCACCAAAAATGGAAGAGAAAAATGAGAAAAGTGGAAAAAATAAAAAAATAAAGAGCAGGAGGAAACTCCAGACACTGTAATTTAGATTGTGCTGATGGCAACATAGGGATATAAAGAACATGAGATTTATAATGTTAAGTTTGGAACACATTCACCCTTTCCACTCTCTTACTGAGTTGTCTGAGAGCTCTGTAGGGATCCATATTCAACCAGTGATAAATAAGTGCTATCGTGACCAATCAGGGGTTTTATAGAACAGTAAGCCAGGCGGTGGAAAAAATAAGATGTCACTCATGAAGTACAAGAAAAAAGAAGTAAACACTGAGCATATGTGTGTGACGGAGTATGTATGTTTGTATGTGTTTGCATCTGTCACTGTGTGTGTCCTTGATATTCACATGAGGGGTTTTGACTGTGTGTGATCCTGAAAGCCACATTTGACGTAAATGACAATTTGCTTTCAGCTATAACAGTCTACTTTGCTGTCTTCAGCAATACATCACACATTACCACAAATATAGGAAACACACGATTAGTCTGTCCAGAGATTTAAATAGAGGTTTCACAGTGTGCACCCCCGCTGAGAGGATTTCATCTTTCTGTGGCTTTTCTGGCAACACAAGCAATCATATTGAGAAAGAGCTATAGAAAACACAATCAATTTATTGTCATCATCATAAACCACCAATATTATTACTGTATTTGTTGTTTTTGTTGGGGTTTTTCCCCATTCCTTTGCTAAGCTTCAAAATAAAAGAGTGATGTTTTTAAATGTTTGTCGCTTACTGTCACTGTCTAATGAGAACCATGTATTTCAACATTTCATGGTACTAGAAAAATAGTGCACTTTCAAATACATGTTTGGCGGGGGACGATTAAGCTAGCTGCACCTAAATTTGGAGTGCACATGTATTCAAGCCTTTATGGTAAATCCATTTAAATGGACCTGACAGGCAGGTTAGCGACTTTCATTTGCCATTTTCTCTCTTTACAAAGGCAAGTGTTGCAATATGAGAGTCCTACCTGAAGAGAGGCTATGAAGTCTTCATGTTACGCAATATGAGAACCACATACGACATTATTTATCAAAGTGGGTCGTACTTGATTAATTTAGTGCGAGGATACACATGTGACAACGTCCGATTTTCAAAATAAGGTGTCTATACAGGATGAAAATAAGATTAATTGGACTGTATAAAACATATTACGTATCCATTAAAAGTAAATGGACACATGTAATTTACTTTACCGGACCCTCTCGGGCCTCGGACCCACCCACCATAGTCTCTCCAAATCCTGTGGGAAACACTGACTAAAAAGCACATTTTGACTATTGAATTTATGCATTGGTAAAAAAATAAAAATATTATATTCGGATGCGGCTTCAGCCAAGAATTTTCATTTCGGTGCATCCCTATAGATAAGACCTGTGTTAACGTTGGAAGAAGCATACCATGGACAGAAGAGGTGAATTCATGGTTAATTTCAAAATAAGTTCTCCAACTGTAACATAAAATGAGGCAGCATTTCTCTGAATGTCCTCAAAAATCTGTCACTTTTAGGGCTACATTTTGACCAATGGATTTTAAATACATTTTTTTGTCACTTCCTGTAGGCTTTAAGTTGCTCCTTTACAAAGTATGGCATATACTGTGAGCTTGGACTCAAAGCAGTTAGGGTTGAATGGATTTCAATGGTATCAAAGGGCAAAACAACGTGTCAAAACATGTCCCTAATACAGTTGAAGTCCACCATCGGTCAAGTCAGTGGTTCTCAACCTTTTTTAGGCCAGCGTCCCCCTATCCATTATCCAGATCCCTTACCGCCCCCCATCAAAAAAGATGTTTGCTATTTGCCCTGATTATTGTTGATTTTTTTTTATAGTTACTATTGTTATTAAAAACATGGAAAAGGTAACAAAAAAGCCATGTGAAAAGTAATTATATTTAACTAATAAGTGAATGTTCCTCCCAGAAACTGTGTGTGAAGCCAGATACTGTTTTCTTGGATGGGGCAATAAGTGGGGGGATATGGGGGTCCTCCCTCAGAAGATTTTGAGCATTAAACACTTAATTTCCTGCATTCTGGTGAAAATTTCTCCTCCAATTTCTGCCTTTTCTGCACCAATTTATGGTGGAAATGTCTAAAAATTCAGGTGGCAGGTGACAATTCAAAATATAATTATAATAGAATATAATGTAGTGAGGCTCTCAGGCAATCTTATTGCTTTTAAATATTTTTCTCCTGTAGATCAACTTATTTAATATCATCCCTGCTGAGTCAATACACATGATTAAGTCTTACCACCTCTTTTGTGGGGAAGTAACCTATTTAAATGTGTTTGTGTCTTTTCATCTCAGTAATAAATGAATCCGTTTTAATTCAGTTATTGACTGGACTTTATTAGCTCATCTGTTAATAACTTCCATAACTTAACAATCCCACAGAATGACAGTGTAACTGTGGCGCAGATAAAGCATGCTAGCCTCGAAAACCCAGCTGTATGGCTCCTTACATGCTTGCTAATAACTTTTAATAGCTGGGTCTCCGACATTGACAGCGTTGTGTTGGACAGATTTGTGCAACTGTGTTAATGAGGGAGAGAGAGCGAGAGCGAGGGACAGATGAGAGAGATGAGCGAGAGGATGTGCTGTGCGAATACACGCTGCCTGCAGCTCAAATACGATTTTAAATAGGCCTACTAAAAAAAGTCGAAAATCAATATGTGGCGGTCAGCATTGATATTGTGGCAGGCCGCCACAAATAAATGAACATATGGGAAACACTGTAACTTATCTGCTCATGTTCAAAACTTTCTACACATTCAGAATCTCTCCCACATATCTGAGTTCTCTGACATGTAAAGAAAAAAAGTCGTAGTGGGAGACTAACGTCATTAGCCTATTTAAAGAGAATTCATAATATTTTACTACATGCCCTATACTGCATTATGTTAATGACTCACTGAAAGTATCCCCTCGCCGTCTAACAGACAAAACTGAATGAGATGAGGAGGTGTTCATTCCGGGGGAAAACGAAACTAACCAACAACACCTGTGATCAGACAGAAAGCTCACAAATAATCCCACACACGTTAACTTCAGCACCTCTGATAAAGTGCCGCTTACAATCCCCAACAGAGCAAGACAGGGCTTCAGTTTTTAATGTTACATTTTTATAGCCTACTGAAATTACAGTATATGTCCGCTTTGGCACAAACTGTCTGCGACTCACAGCGCGAGGTGGGTCCATTGTCACTCGCTGGTGTCTCGGCGGAGTTGCTTTCAAGGTGAGTCCGACAGCGGAATATCCCTCTTGTGTATGTGTAACCACTGTGATAGCAAGACCTTCACTCTGTATTCCTCCTCAGAGAAATTAACACTTTTCCACAAAGAAAGAGAGCGTCAATTTTCCAGAGTTTACACAGTAAACGCCATGTGGGTAAAATTTTAGAGATTATACTCTGACTTCCCGTTCCTGTGAAGGCAGCACGAAGCTGCACCACAAGTAGCTGACGGAGAAAAAACACACAGTGTCGTCCAGTCACAGTGGACTAAACTGGCAGGTTTTAATGTGGCAGACCACAGTTTTTTGCTAGTAGTTTAAAGTTTAAACTCGTATTGTTGTGAATCTTAAGTAATTTCCAACCAACAAATGCCCCCCAAAAGCAGCTAACCCGTCCTCGGAACGCCCCCCATTGAGAAACGCTAGTCGAAGTGATCAGTTTGTCCACAAAAATCTCAATCCACCAATAAACCACTATATCTGCTACTTCCAGGAAAGCTTTGAAAGAATGAAGAGGTGATAATGCAGGACTTGAATAGTGTATTTAGTTATGGTGTGAACAAAACTATGACTGCTGGGAACATATTAAACATACTTGTCACAGCAACAGGCATTGAATTTTTTGATACTCTTTTTCTCGCTTGCTTTTCAGTGAAGTATTCCTTTAATTTTAGGTCTAATTCACTTTATGATCTCCTAAAACACCTGGAACTGTTTTATCAAATGTTAAAAACAGACAAAAACAATACACAGAACTTTATCAACAAAGAAAAGTTACAGTAGCTTTCAAGGTGTTCTGCCTCATGGAAATTATAAAAGAGAGTGAGAGAAGTGAGAAGTTTAATGTACCAGTGCTGGTATTCCTTGCACCTTGCAACACACACACACACACACACACAATTATGCAGATACAGTATATTAATATGGGGCGTGCATGTGCACACATATGATACTCAAAAATGCACACTATAATGACTTCACACAAGTATAAAGCAAACATGCACAAAGGGCACACACACACACAAACACACAGTCAGCTCAGAGGCTAGCTCTAGCTTTACTTGAAGGCAGCCCAATATAAATAGCTATAAAGTTTAGAAGGTGTTTCAACCTTCAACTTAAGCTGACAGAGACTCTCTAAGGATAAGACAAATAGAAAACCTGAGTGGAAAGAAAGAGTGCAGACAGAGAGAGCAGAGGGGAAGGAAAGGAGACAGGGTGGGTGCACCGATGGGACTGAAACATACAAAGAGAGAGAGAGAGAGAGAGAGAGAGAGTATGTCTGGGAATGTAAGATGAAAGAGAGAGAGAGAAGGAGGGCAAGTGGGAGGCTTCTCTTCATCAGTATGACCTGCTCTTACACTTTGAATACTCTGGGAAAACTCCATTTTCCCGAATAAAAATTCCTCACAGATCCAAGCAAAACATTCACTCCGAGCACACTTTCACCTCTTAAAATCGTGCGCACACACACATCTGACACACACTCTTTTTCACCTCTCCAGGAGCACAGAGCGGCACTGTGTCACCTGGCGCAGGACTTGAACCCTCAACCCGGATAAAAGTTCTGACATGGCAGTGGCCTTGTTTTTAAATGGATCACGTAACACATCAGAGACAGAAGAGGCCAGAGAAAGAGTGACGGAGGGAAAGTCAAGCAGAGATGGGAGAGTTGACGAAAGTGGGATTGCTAGAGGCAGAGATGGAAAAACAAGAAAGGTGTACTCACAGTCGTCCTAGTTTGGGGTTGGACTGGAAGAGAAGTTCTGGGAGAAACTGAAGTTTGTTTCTGTTCAGACGACTGTGGAGAGAAATAGGGGGAGAAAAAGATATATTGAAGCAAAATGGTTTTACCACTTTAAGAGAAACCTCAGCGTGAACTGAAAAGAGAAAAAACACACACTCATTAATCACTCAGATTCATGCTTTTGTGTTGACTGAACTATCACCAACCAGGTGACTGCATCACCTTGTAGGTCAGCGGGTTCAAGGTTCAAAGGTCAAACTCATGGGAAAGTCTGTGTGGTTTCCTGTGATAATGACCTACAGGTTATCATAGTGTTTTGTGTGTGTGTGTGTGTGTCTTAGTTACAGGTTATTGCGCTGTAAGCTTTCTAAAGCCAGTTGTCACTATAATCCCCCCATGTGCTTTGACCTAGGTGGAAAGGAGGAACAAGTTTGGGTTCCTGCCGTCTTCCCGGCATCTCCACTGAAAGTCGTTTTCATAAAACGCTTTTCCCATGATAACTGACACTCCTCTTTGTGTATTTTAAATACATTTTGATACCTAAAATGTTATGAAAAGAAAAGAACATCAATTATACCATCAATAAGGGGATTAACAGATTGTCAAGTGCACTTCCAAATGGTAAAACTAAACCTAATCTCAGTGGCCTCATTTTATCCGATAAGACAAAAATGCACAATGCATGAGATTCGCCCAGAAATTATATCTAATGTACCTTTATTTTTTACAAAAAAAATATAAGAGGCTCTTCAGATGCAAAAATAATTGATTCATAAGATGTGCAAAAGGTGATAAAATGTGAAAAAAAAGTGAATGTTTCGGTCATAGGACCATCGTCAGCAAAGATTTAAGACCACGTAATTCTTAAACAGGCAATCAGACAAACAGCAATGGCCAAAAGCTGTGCATAAACTCATCAGTTGGTTGGGTGTGACCTACAAGCATACCAGAACGAATACACAGACTATACATGTTTGTGTAAGTAAGTAAGTAAGTAAGTAAAGTTTATTTCTATAGCACCTTTCACAGGTATAGGGCCACAAAGTGCTTCACAACAAAAACATTAATATCATAAAATACACACAATAAAAGCATAGACAGTGCATGATCATATCAACCCACAAGTAGCTAATTGAAAGCCTGAACAAATAAATGTGTCTTTAGTCTGCATTTGAAGGCATCAACAGAATCAGAAGAGCGCATAGATGGTGGAAGGTCATTCCACAACCTAGGGGCAACAGCCTGAAAAGATCGGTCACCTCTAGTACGGTAGCGAGTGCGTGGAACCGTCAGCAGGTTCTGATCCACAGACCTCAGAGCACGCACAGGGGTATAACGCTGAATCAGGTCACTAATATAGGGTGGAGCCTGGCCATGTAAAGCTCTGAAAACTAAAACCAAAATTTTAAAATTTATCCTATAAGACACTGGTAGCCAATGAAGTTCTTTTAGGATTGGTGATATGTGAGACCTCCTATTAGTACGTGTTAAAATTCTGGCTGCAGAGTTTTGTACTAATTGCAGTCGAGAGAGCTCCTTCTGGTTTAGGCATAAAAATAAACTATTACAATAGTCTAACCGCGACGACACAAAGGCGTGAATGATTAGCTCCAAATCATTTCTTGAAACTATATTTCTAAGTTTTGAGATTTTCCTTAATTGAAAGAAGCAGTTTCTCGTCAGCTGCTTGCAGTGCTGCACTAACGACATGTCTTTGTCCAGGACAACTCCCAAATTTCTAAGACTTTGCTTAGCAGACTGGCCTAAATCACCCAAGTATTGTTTAATTCCTGGAATTGCATCCTCAGGGGCAATGATTAATGTTTCTGTTTTGTCTGCATTTAGCTGCAGGGAGTTTTGTATATATAAACCTGTTTATCATCAGCATAGCAATGAAAGTTAATGAAATATCATGGGTCCTGTTAATATATATATATATAGTTCAAAGATCAAAACATGAGTATGAGACAAGAGTTCTTATTTCGTGGTATTCACATCTAGATGTGTTAAACAACTCAGGACATACCACCCTTTGTTTGAACCCACCCATTTTTCAAGTGAGCAAAACTATTGGAACATGTGACTGACAGATGTTTCTTGTTGCCCAGGTGTTGCCTTTTAGATTGATTGTCCAAACATTAAATAGTTCTGCAGAAGAAAGATCGACCAGAGCCATTGGACAAACATTGGCATGTCCTGAAGAAGAAAGAAACTACTGGTGTACTCAGCAACAGACGTCGAATAGGTCAGAAATATCGTTAGAGCTGAAATATAGAGGCCACACCACAAGATGCAAACCACTCAGCAGCAGGAAGAATCGGAAGGCCAGATTGAAATTTGCAAAGTACAGATGAGCCACAAGTTCTGCAACACAATCTTATGGACTGATGAGACTAAGATTAATCTCTACCACAGTGATGGAAAGGCCAAAGTGTGGAGAAAGAAAGGAACTGCTTATGATCCGAAGCATACAAGCGCATCTGTGAAGCACGGTGGAGGTAATGTCATGGCTTGGGCGTGCATGGCTGCTTCTGGAACAAGCTCATTAATATTGATTGATGATGTAACTGATGATGGTAGCAGCAGAATAAATTCAGAAGTGTACAGGAACATTTTGTCTGCCAATTTACCAATGTACACTGTCAATGAAGAATGCAATAGTTTGGTGATACCAGGAAATAAAAGCTGAAATTCCGAACTCTTGTCTCACACTCATCTTTTGATCTTAAACCCAAATGTCTTCAGTGAACAACAAAAACAAAGGAATTTGCCTTACCGTTTCAATACTTTTGGAGAGGACTGTATATACAGTGTGTGTGTGTGTGTGTGTGTGTGTGTGTATATATATATATATATATATATATATATATATATATATATAATAAATTGGACTTAAACCAACTCTGTAGTAGTATATGGTGGTTGATGGTATCGAAAGCAGCACTCAGAGCTAACAAGACATGTACAGAGATAAGTCCTCTGTCTGATGCAACTAGTATGTCATTTGTAACTTTCACCAGGGCTGTCTCAGTACTATTATGTCTTCTAAACCCTGAATGAAAAGCCTTGAATAAGCTGGTGCTATGAAGATAGTCACAAAGCTGACTGGCAACTCCTTTCTCCAGGATTTTAGATAGAAAAGAAAGATTAGATATAGATCTATAATTATTTAAAACCTCTGGGTCCAGAGGAGGCAGATTGAAGCTTTATGGCGCTTTCAGACCAAAAGTGAAGCGAGCATTCGGGGCGGTGAGTTTACATACAAAGTCAATGCAAAGATGCGTAGAGCTGCGATTTCCTGTCAGGCAACGTGAAAGGGGCGGTGCCGGCGACGTGAAGGCAACGTGAAGGAATTTCTCGCTTGAGTTGAAAATATTCAACTCACACGAGAAATTCACATGACGCTGAGTCGGGATAACCTATCAATGTTGAGATTGTCCCTACGTCATCGACAGCTTCAGAGCGTTGTGTGGAGAGGGCCAGGCAGAGCAGGCGATTGAAAATCTGCAGGCTTGCTGAAAGCTGCTAAACTTGGGCTAAAGAAGCAGGGAGCAGCGCTCCAGCTTTTGGACAAATAACAAATAACACCCGTGGTCGGACTGGATTATTCTCTGACTACACCGTTTGCTCGAGGGAGGAGCTTGGAGTAAACTGCTTTTATTATGAAAAGAAAAAACACCAAGCTACTTCTCATGCCCAATTCAGTCTTATATTATGCAACTAAGTTGAACTGAGCATGAAATGTACATATGACAATTATTTACAAAGGAATGAGAGGCAGAGGAAGATGGAGAATGAAAGAAGGGTGTTGACCAACAGGTAGACATATGTGTGCGATGATAGCGAGAGATGTACTGTGTGTAAGGGTGAAAGATGTGTCAGTGTGTGTGCAGAAGGAGGGTGGGGTTGGCTGCAACAGAGATAGATGAGGACAGTGTGACGGGATGGAGTGAAAGTGTTATCAAGCTACCAAAGCATTTGGCTGAGAAACAAGGCGTGGAAGGGAAAAAGAAAATAAAAGTAGGGTGGAGGGTCATAGGGGTCACAAAGTAGAATATGCGCTAGAGAAGACACAGACAGCAACCTTTTAACCCCTGTGATAATGATAATAAGACCCTGATTTTCACTCCTGTGTGTATCAATGAAAAGAGAGCTGCAGTCCAAAAAGAGATATCCACCATTTGAAATAATTGACCCCTGCTTCTAGAAAATAACTGCTGGGACGAAAGTAAAGCGCATGATCAGCTACTATTACAGTTATGAGTCATTTTAAGACGTTAGCTCAAAACGTTATGGTTTTTAAGAGAAGAATCCTTTGTGTATTAATAATGACGAGTTTATTCTACTTGGAACCTTTGAAATATTACCAGACCACGGAAAATTATCCGTGTTAGCCAGAATCACAATAATGTCCAGCAAAAATGGTTTGGAGACTGAGGGGAACTAATCTCACTTGGCGAGTACCTTAAAATCCAGAAGTCTGATATATTTTTGTAAGGAAGACGAAATAAAATTTCTTAAAAAATCCCCTATTCTGTTTGCAAAATATCCATCAATCAGAACCTTATACAGGATTGAAAATGAGCTAATCATTACATTTAGCCTTTTCAACCTAACTGTCCTTTTAAATTACCAAATGAGGTGAAATGACTATATCCATGACTTCATGATTCTTGTGTTGACATACATGAATGTACTCAACCAAGGAGATGACTACACAAGCTCCATGTTTTTCACATTTTGACGCCACAAATCACACAGACTCAGCACCATGACCCCTCGCCCCTAACCTTTCAGCCTGACAGGCACAACATCAGAGAACCTGTCAACTAAGCATTTTAAAAAGCATTTCACTATCACTTAAGCAAAGAATCCCGGACACTATATCATAGTCTTTCTCCTTAACATTTTCAACCAAAAACCAGATAATATGTACTTTTGTTTTTTCCTTAAATTGACCCTAGATAAAGTACAAATGCCATCTGTACACTATGTGATGTGTATAATAGATGCATTGCCATGCAACTTTAGTTATACATACAATAGAAATCTGCACAAAAGCATATTTTTAAATGACTTGGATAAAAGAAATGCAATCTGATGTGTGAGTTTTAACACACAACTATGCAGCCTCCTGTTGCCTTCCCCACCAAACCCCTAACCCCTGACCCTTCCTGACACACCCCATTACAGCCTTTTAAGCCTGTTTGCTGTCCTCTGAACTGAAAACGTGCTGTTGTTGCTCTGTGTGTCTCTGTCAAATTTCTTTGACAACATCTCCAACTTATTCTTGCTCTTTGTGAAATATAAACTTTCCTCTTCACAGAAGACAAAATCTTTAAATCAGTCTTTTTGCCAGTGATGCTGGATACAAATAGCTTTTTGCAGTCGCATGGCAGCATCACAGTTCTTCAAGTTACAGACAATATGAGACTGTGGAAGTACATTGTTTAAAGACAGTGGCAAATTAAATAGCCCACTGTGACATTATCTGAGAAACAGATTAAAACAGACATACCGGTGAAGAAATTCCCAGCTCCTGTCCAAGCCAAGCATTGTAAATTCAACACTGTTAGGACAGCCAGTTACTAAGCTTAGAAATGCTCATCAGGTGAAGACCTTACATCACCTGAAAGCCACCTTTAAAAACAGCTTTAAAACATTTCTGACAATAAACAGTGTGTTGCTTTCTGTATTCATTTCCTGTTACAGCATCAAAAACTTCCTGCAAAGCTGTCTGCCCATCAACCTACCAGAGTCATAAACATGCAGGTGTGTGTGTGGAAGTGTTGTGCTGTGCACTGACACCTTAATTCTGTTGACTAGAGCCTTGGTGTTAGCTGACTGACACACACACACACACACACACACACACACACACACACACAATGAACAAAGCAATATCTATGAGAGATTCCAAGGCTGTGTGTGAAGTGGATGGACTTGGGTATCATCCAGGTACACTCTTTATGTGTATGTGCGAGTGTGCCTTACAGAATGGACAACAGCACGTAAGTGGTGTGTGTATGTTTGACTAAATGGAAAATCAGCGGTAGTAAGTCAAATATTTGTGTATGTGTGTGTAAATTAGTGCATGTATGCTAATTTGGGGATGTTTAGGTGTGTGTATTTCTTACATCCCTAAAACAACTATGCGTTTGCTTCAACTGTTTTGTTTGCAATGCTTCTTTTTCTCACACATAACAGGTAGTACTTACAGTCTCTCCAGCAGTCTTAGGTCTTGAAAGGCTCCCCTCTCAATAACACTGATTTGGTTGTCCTCCAGATGACTATAGTAATGGACATAAAGACACAGAGAAAAGAACAGCAGTTATAGTTACTATCATATCTAAAAAAATTCTAAAATTTAAGAATGCAGAAATACGATGGAGGAAATAAGAATTATCAGTAACATAGTTGAAGTACGCATTTCTTAAAATGTCTTGATTTAAATATCAAACAGACACGTAGGGAATACATATCAAAGCCAGTTTTCCAGGCTGACCTGGAGGTTCAACCCAAAGGGAGAAACACCAGATAAATGTCATTTGCTGGACAGCACAAACAAGAGAAATCAGATGCTTGCCAGAGAGAAATAGAGAGATTTCAAACAGTGAGAGAGACACTTAAAAATGTGTTGTATAAACAAGCAATCACCGCACTGAACAAATGAATCTGGCATGAAGCAAGACATGCAGCGTTTCAAAAATGTCACAATCTAGTGAGCCAAAACAAACGATTAACAACCCATCCCTCTTCCACCCTTCAATGGATAACTTCTCCATTTCTCATCTGTCTTTCCAGTGGTGCTCCCAATGCAATGCATATTCCTCTTTTTCTCTTCTCTTCTCTGAGTATGTTGTCATGTTTTGGGGGGCGATCTAAGGTTTTCCAGATGGGACAGAGCAGAACACATCCACAGATATGTGTGTATACATTTTCTGTCTGAGGATGTTAAGAGTGACATCTCCTGAGAGAGGAGAGGAGGGGAGGGGAAAGGGAGATTGAATGAAAAATGTTGCTGCTGTGAGAGGCAGAGAAGGAGAGGAAGGAGGAAGTTAAGGGAAGAAAGAGAAAGGAGGAGGAAGAGAGAGAGGATACAGGGATTCAGAAACCCAGAATGAAAAGATGAAGTGAGTGAGAGAGATATTTAAAAAAAAGAGAGAGAGAGATAGCCTAGGAGGACTAAAGAAGCTAAAGAAGTATCAAAAGAGACAATGTCTGGCTTGCCATGGGGACTCTTTTAAATATTCTTTCAAAGAAAATGTTCAGACACGCAGCTGAATTACAGCCACTAATCCGTGGACTGCCATAACAGCTCTTTACACAACACACATGCATACACAGACAGACAATCTGCTGGACTGAAACATGCACTCAGTTGAAAGATAACAGACTCAGACACTCAAATATGCATTCATGGACATGCACAAAAAAGATCATTTGTATATGCACATATGCATAGATGCATGCAGACATATTCACTCACTCCTAATTTCCTGATATGGGTCTTTTAGCACCTAAAAACTTTTAAAAATAGCATTTACCAGTGTTTATTTTGAAAAATCTGATCTGAAATATCAATATTGCAAAAAAATTGATTTTAAAATTACCATATGCAAAACCATATACCATATTATTTATGTTGTTATTTTATTCCTAATTACTTCAAGGGACTCTGGTACACAATGAATAGTTAATTTGCATATATTACCATTTTCTCTTCAGTTTTTATTTTGAGAAGATTTCTAGGTTTTCTTTCTGCTTCTCGCAGCAGGAAAATGGACAACTTTTGGGTGCATAATTCCAGGACAAAATGATTTTAAACCAATCTTTTTTTAAACAGCAAAAATATTTAGTTAAAATTTAAAATGCAAACATATGCTACAGAAAAGTCATAACAGTTGAAGACAACAAAGACAAGCACACACCGACAGGTTCAAATACATACAGTGCAGGAGATGGGTAGACACACACACATTATTTACAGTCCAGCCAGTATTACAGTTTTTTTCAATTGCTAAGATGCAATGGTCAAAACTGAAGCCACTTTTTCAAAACTCTTAACACAGTCTGCATTACCAACATGCATCCTGGCCAAACAGTTAATCTGACCTCCAAAAGTCACTCAAACCACCAAAACACTTCATATAAGCCTCAAAATAAACTCGTTCAGCCAAAACACTGGCAACAATAACCACTCAGAAAGCATCCATTGTCACTCATAACACACTGACCTACAAAACACTAACAACAGGAAGCATTACATACATTTGTTTAACTTTTATCCCTGAAATATGACTGATATTTCCATATAAATCAGTATTTCATTATAGAATCCAGTTGTTTTCAGTCACTTTGATACATTTCTCAGATCAGAATTGAAATTCTACTTGTTCAGCCTCCACATCATCTAGTCGCTTGTGCACATTATGTGTAAAAGCAATTTCTCAGTCTTTTGCAAAATTTCAAATTGCACATGCTTTGACACATTTATGCAAATTATTATGTACATCTGTCTGCTGTTTCCTACATTATCAATTGCTTACTCTATGACATGTTGATCACAATCAATTACAGTATACTGGTGCTTTGTTGAGAAGTCTTACCCCCCAAAACATCTAGACATAAGTTCATTGCGTAAGTCACTACATGCAAAATGGTTGAACACGTCATAATCTGCATTTTCCTACATATGTCTATTAGACTTGTTTTGTAAATGTGTCCTACAGTAAAGTTCTGATCTGTTGTGCTGTGAATAAGAATTTCTTAGTTTGTAATTGCTTCCGTTGTGCTATGCAGTGATGTAAAATAGTCTTGTTTTTTTTATTTTCTGCATCACAATGACATGCTCTGTCAACAAATTACAGTGCATGCAGTAAAGGTGTAACTGTGAATCCTGTCCAATCTCTTGCAATGTTTACTGTAACTCTGTACTGGTGAAATTGATCTATGCCATACAGAAAAAGTACAGCCTGTAAATGTACCAAAGAGACTGAGAAAAAATGGAAGAAACCTGTAACATATTTTCACTTTATTGACTGTACTATAGTATATGTTAGAAGAATGAATCAGAAATGCATTCAGTAATGTACTTGTGAAAAAAAGAAGTTCCTGACATTTCAGTGCTGCAATACACTTTTTTTCAGTTGTTTACATAGTTAACACTGGTACCTGAGACCCAATGACCACAGTCTGTAATTGATGTACCATACCCTTGAACTAGTTCTGCTAAAATATAAGCAAATTTCTTGCTTTACAATCACACAGTTTTACAGTAGAACCACATTCAAAACATTATACATATTTCTCTAAAACATCAAATGGATGTAAATGTTCTGCAAAGATTTTCTATATATATCTGTCCAGCTACAGCAAAAATTCAGGAAATTTGCAAACATTTTGTTTTGAACGTGTTTTGAACAGTTTTGGACACAGTGTGTTAGCATTTGAAAAATGTCCTGCAGATATATAGTGTTTTGCAGGTGGTGAAGTAGTAATGGGAAAGGAGTTCATGGATTTTGGATAAAGTGGTCATTGAATGCATTTTGTGTGAAAGCAATGAAAAATTATTCACAGTTTGGTCCACATGCACTTCTGTTTCGCTGACTGTGTGAAGAGTTTTGACAATGTGACTTCAGTTTTGACCAATGCAGGTTAGCAATTGAAAAAAAACTGTAATTGAGCATGTTTAGTCAAGCTGCATTTTCTCAGCACCAATAGAAGTACCAATGCGTATCTCGCAAACTCCGGAGTAAGTTACATCAAGACATAACTTTGAGTAACTATCAGAGTTTATTTGTCCAAATGAGAGATCAACCGCATGCTGATTTACTGAATAAAGTTTAGAAAGGCACGGGATCTTAAGCCAAACACATGGTGTGGGGAGTTGATGCTGGCATATTGTTCAGATGAGGTATTGTTTTTATATTGGTCTGTATCAGGCATTAGTCATCCACAGAGAGATGGAGAAAAGAGAGAAAACACGTATTGATTTCATGTGTGTGGGGTCTGGTGTGTCTAATAACTCTTTCGTTCAACCATATTAGAAAGTCTTAACATCTATTATAAAAAGCATAATGATGTCACGCTACCTTATGGCAAACTCAGAGCACTTGGCCTCTAAAGGAAATAAGGAAATACTTCAGGGCATATTAACTTCACTTGTTGTTTACATACAATGGGTGAAACCACATTAACTTTCCGCAGCCAAATGTTCAATATCAAGCACAAGTTTTCACCTACAACTAAATTTGTTTGGAATTACTCAATTTCGCCACAATCTGGAAGAAATCTTGCAATGTAAGGCTGCCAAAGATATTACGCTAAGTGTTGCGCATGCAGTATGCATGCAGAGACAAGCTGTGTCTGTGTAAAACGGTGTGACCACTCAGATTAAAGAACATTCAGACTGCTGTTTCATTGTTTCATTTTGTACAAAATTATGTTAAATGTTTAATCGGATTACAGCAGACAGTCTGAATAAGGTGCTTTAATAAGGTCCTATAACACACTTTATCCAAAACTGTTCAAATCACAACAGACTGAAATATATAGAAAATCTTAGCAGTACATTTACATACATTTTATGTTTACGCCTATATGCGTAGAGAAATGTGTGTAGTGTTTTGAATGTGGTTTTACTGTAAAACTGCAAGCTGAGGGTAAAGCAGGAAATGTGCTTATATTTTAGCAGAATTGGTTCAAGGAGTTGATGCATCAATTACAGGTTGTGGTCATTGTGTCTCAGGTACCAGTTTTACTGCGTAAACAACTCAGAAGTGTATTGCAGCACTGAAATTTCAGGAACTTTTTTTCATAAGTAAATTACTGAATGCAGTTACATAGAAAATAATAAACGATAATGAAGGAAATTTCTGCATTTCCGATTCATTCTTGTTACATATACTATTGTACAGTCAATAAAGTGAAAATATGTTATTCTAACAGTTTTTCTCAGTCACGGTACATTTCTAGAATCATCCTTAACATTGGCAAAACTATTTGTATTGGTAAACTATGGCAAAAGTTTGGATGACAATGACTGAAAACGCAAAAGGCTGCACTTTTTCTGTATGGCATGTATCAATTCAATCAACAGTACTGAGTTATACACGGCAAATGATTGGACAGGATTCACAGTTACATGCATAAAAAAACAAGACTATTTTATACTCCAGTATAATACATTGTGATCAACATGACATAAGCAATTTCTCAAAAGACTGAGAAATTGCTTTTACATATGATGTGCACAAGTGACTAGATGATGTGGAGGTTGAACAAGTAG